ATCTTAAACATTCAAGTGCTACAAGAAAGAATAATATTTCCATTATTAACAGTTATTTTGTCCAAACAATAAATTAATGCCTTAAACCTTTGACTTTTGCCAAACTAAGTCACATTTTTATTGTAAGTGTATATTAAGAGGTAGCTTAAACTGATGTCAAACACCCAAACAGACAACAGAGGAAGTTGAATGGAGGGCCAGCAATGGCCCCTGTGCCAGCAGTTTATGCATTAGTATTTTTACCAATGATAAGCTCATATCATTATTCATTCATATGTGAAAAACCAAAAACTACTAAAGCATCGATAATTGTATTATCGTAATATTATTATTATTATATTTAACGGAATTAGTGATAATATTGATCTATCTGCTGCATCAGTAGTAAAGAGCTCACCTGAGACGACTCCCAGGAATGACAAAGTGGTCACAGATATTTCCCATTTGGATCTGCAGTATCATCAGGTAAGAGAAGAGAAAAGAAGCACTGCTCACATCAGGATAATGAATGTTAACTTCAATATAGGAAGACAGTACAAGGAAGTACTGAACAATTGGGATTTTCCCATCATCGAAAGGTCCACCAAATGATCAACAAGGTCCGCCTTGTTGATGATTAACAATGTACCATGCAGCAACTTTAAAAAAAAAACAACAGAAGAAGTATTTCTTGGGAGGGAGTAATATTTCATTATGTCCATGTAGCAATGACTATCCCAATCTGACATAACTAAACATCCAGGGGGTTATTCAGTGTGACCTTACTCTGGATTTGCTTTGTGGGGTATTTGGTAGCGAGGTGACAACATGAAATTCGATAGCAGTTTGTCCTCTTATATATACTGAAAAAAGGGAAATATTGGTCTTGAATTTACAAAAGATGAAGTTAGTAAAAGCACACAATTAATTTATATTCTGTTTTGTGAACATGGTTAATCAAGTACACTTTAAAGGGAATCTTCGGCAGGATTTTTACCTGTCTTGATCACTAGAGGTTCCCGAGTACTGTCGTAGGAAAAGACGACCAGAATTGTTCTAGCAAACTGGGAGATCCTTGCACTATGTCCAGAGCTCCAGTTAATTATAATACACTTCTTGGGGGCATATTCTAAAGAGTGCCTTTTGCCTCCTCTTAACCAGACACAAAATGTAATTAAACATGTCTGTGCATACGATGGTCAGGCCCTTACGTGACAACGAAATGCCATGCGGAGGAGGAATTGGTTAGTAAAAGATAAAACAGTGGCTCAGTAATTTGAAGATGGTCGGATTCAAAGTAAATCACAACCCGAAAAAGCTCGCAGCCCCGAAACAAAGCTCACGCAAACTTCATTTCCCGCAGTGTGCCTATATGTAAAAAACTCCAATGCTGTATGTAAAGGGAATGAGAGCCATATCCCGCTTAAATGTAGGTGTTGACACACAGCATAGTGGTGGACCCCCCCCCCATGTCAAATTCCCCCAAATCAACCTAAACGCCAACGTTATCTGGAAATGCTCAGGGGAGATCAGACGGCATTAAAAAACATACCGCTTTAACGCAGAACGCTTTAAGCGATGTTGAGAAAATGCTGACGGAGGGAATTTGGCCTCTTTAGACCAACTGGCGGCTAGTGCTCGTTCGTTGTTTGTGTGTGTGTGTGTGTGAATGAGAGAGACAGCAGTTAAGACTTAGTTAAACCTCTAATTGTAAATGGAAAAACTTTGTCTGGTTAATGTTTGGTTGCACTTTGCAAGTTTTATCACCTCCAGGCTCTATTCAGAAACCCGCTAAGATGTGAAGTAAACATTCCATAAAGAGAAGTCAATATCTCATTTTAAAGCATCCTGCAATATCAGCAGCAATTCATTATAATATAGTTGGGACATGATGACAACATTGGCGTAATGTGTCAAATGTTGACAGGGTGTAATTCTTGTGTGTCTTACACAGCTCAAGAAAGGTGTTTAACAGGAATATAAGCTGAAATTGGCTTTATATACAGCTAGAACATACTGTATACTATTAGTGGGTTCTTTGGGGGAGTTTCATCATAGGCAGCAACAGAACAGTCCTATAACATAAAAAATGTGAACAATATATCGGGATAATATATGCGTAATCGATTATTCAGGCCTAAATATAGGCATCTCGTAAGAACTAAAAAACTCTCAGGTTAAAGCATAATTCACCAATTATAATGATACATAACTTCTACCATCGGTAGACAAACAATAAAGTACTTGTATATGAAGGAATCATCCGATCGTATGAATCTACTAAATCTCCAATATTACTTACTGAAAGTCACTTTGAGGCACAATCATGAAGCTATCCCACATATAACCAAGTAAATCTGCACCAATTTGTCAGCAGATGATAAAAATAACACAATAACCAGTATAGTGTTGGTAGCTATGGAGCAAGAGGCCTACCAAAGATATCAAGTAAGTGAGTAACTCAACGGCAGCAAGATAGAAGCTACAGTGTTTTACTTCCTCCTCCTGTAGTATTACTGTCCAAAACAAAAAACTGTATCATAATCAAATAAAACTGGAAGTCATTGATGTACATAAATGAACTTACATGATGAATTTGCAGGTTTAAGCAAATTATCAACACTCCTTAAATACCCAGACGTGACTAAAGTAAACTTTTTTTCTCAGAGAGAGTATAATACTTAAAAAGAAAACAAAACAGGTACAAATGATTTAATGAACAGAAAACAGAGTGTCGTTAGCAATTAGTTAGGAAATTAACCAATTTGAACCCTATTGGAAAACTTTGGATAATGTAAGTACAAACTTTATAAAATATATAAGCCAAGTTGCTAGTCCGTGTTAGACATTTTAATACCAGAAATGTTATAGTTTACCTGTAAGGTAAAAAGACAGATTGTCTCTTAACTGGTCCATTATATCTGTAGGCTTAGCTCAGGGAGGCCGGAGAAAATTAAAAGCCTGAATAATCAATACCACATATTAATACACTGTGTTTAATATTGTTTACGGTGCAATAACAATAGAAATATTCTAGTCCACGCAGGGACTGCCAAGAATAGCAGGTGACAGTTACACTATCAGAGGGCAGCACACTGCACCATCCAGCATGAAATGCTGTACGGATTCAAAGATTTATCTCTCCACTCAGGCATTTTCGCAAACAGCAGCATGAGTTGTTCAGTATAAAATTGGGGAAGTATCGAGTGAATTACCAGCTGTCATAGGAAGACATTAATCAATGATGGATTGAAGTCCTGATGATTGGCTTTAACTTTCCCTCATGCTTATCCAACAATCAGGAGCAAGACTCAGAAGGCGCAACTTCATTTAGATATTACATTCTTTATTTTGGTTATTATGTTTGTCAAAAAGTGAGAACAATCAAATGTATAATCAAAAACATATATAACCAGCTTATTAAAAACTGTATACCTTCAAAACTTAAGCTACGGCTCCATAATAGAAAAAACAGTGTTGGAACATATATATATAAATGTATTATTTATTATCGCTTCAATATTTCGTTGTTTGCGATCCAGAACAACATATTTTAGTGCAGTATTTCATGCATCTCGTTAACGAGTTACTTGTCTTATCCTGTTTGTCTTTGTTGTTTAAATTGTTTACAATGATTAAGGGTTGGACACAATAAGTAAACAAAGAGAATAAAAGGCAAAGCATTAGATTATACACCTGTAAAGAATGCACAAAACACATAAAAAATAATGAGAGAAATGTCATTGTTCTTATTATCACACACCAGAATTAAATGCAAACATTCACAAATGTTTAGTAATGCAGAACCAAGAATGTTCTTTAACTAAACTGTTTAGGCTCACGTAAACCTTATATTTATTTATTCTCAAAGTAATTTAAAATACCATTACCAGTGTAA